TATGACATCATATGACAGAGGATATGACAACACATGACATGACATCCTATCACATCACATAAAATCACGTTACATCTTATCACGCCCTCGCACCTCATCTCATCTACGTGAGTAGAAAAAGAAAAGGATAAAAGCAAAGATGTGAAAGATAAAAACAAAGATGAAGACCAAGGTAAAGTTACCGATTTCAAAACTAAAAACACCATTGGAAAGGTAAATTTCTGTAGATGAGGAGAGTTTTTAAAGTTTCGAAATTGGTTGAAAATCGTCGTTTAAAATTTGTGTATGGTTGTTTTTGCAACCTGTTCAATTTAAGCTGTTTCGCATTTTGTTTTACTTCGTATTTGAAATTAAACTTTGAAATAAAGATAAATATGACGATGAAGAAACAAGTGATAACGATGAAGACAAAAAAAAGGCAAAAGTGAAGATAAAGACGAAAATTGAGATAAAGGCGAAAATGGAGGCAATGAGAAATACATAACAATCAGGTTAACAGAGTTGAAATTTTCCGATAGGAATCGAAATAAAATCAGCCATAAAGGTTACTGAAATTTATCGAAACATCGAAGTTTATAATTATCGAAATTTATCCATGCTTAATAAGTTATCGCAACGTATCGAATTATTCAAACTGATCAATGTTTAATGAGTTGTTGAAATTTATAGACACAGAAACTTAGTTGTCCAAATTTTCGGATAGTTATCGAGCTATAAAAACGTGTGGGATTAACGAAATTTGTCAAATTAAAGAAATATATCAAGTTATCGATATTTATTGAATTATCATTATTTTAGACTTAACGAAATTTTTCGAGGTATCATAATGCATGGAGTTCTTTCAACTTACAGAGTTATCAATAATTATTGATCTACTGAAATTGGTTGGTTCAACGAAGCGAAGTTTATGGAATTTTCAAAATATATCGATTTATCGAAATTTCAAGGTTATAAAAGCTTATCGATTTATCACTGCTTATCGAATTTAATTATCCTAACAGAGTGTAACGAGTTATCAAAATGTTTAGATAGTTTTCGAAAAATGTGGAGATGTCAAAAGTAAAAATTTATAAAGGTATCCAAAGTTTTTACATTTTTGAGTTATCGAAATTTATCGAGCCATCGAATTTCACAGTTATCGAAATTAGTCGAGTTAACGAATTTTGTTGAGTTATCGAATTTTAGTGTTCTTGAAATTCATCGATCTATCGATATGCATCAAATCATTGAAATTTATCGATAAGCTTTAATGTATCGGGTCAATTCCAAGTTCTGCCGAAGTTCTCCAAAGACCTTCTCAGATAAAAAAAAATTTGTTACGTTTTAGCAGAAGATTTTCCGGTTAGTTAATTTGTACCGTATAAGTTTTGCTACGTGTTAAGTTAGAAAACCTCTCCAAGGCTTCTAAAACTAGAAAAACTGTCAAATTTCGACAGTAACTGGCACTCTAGTATCAAATTAAAGTGCAAGCTGCAATTGCAGTTACCGTGTTTGTCACAAAAGTAAAATTGGCAGAAAAAATAATAGTGAGCAGCGTAATCTATTGAAAGATATTTACCAAATATGCGTGGAATTTTGATTCGGATTCGCGTTATTCATAGTTTCGAAATTTATTTCGCGAAAGCAAAAAATAAAAATAGCTTAGATCACTTTCTTTTTAAACACCTAGGATATCACTGAGAAATTTAAGGGGCTCAGGATGACGGTAAAATTCAAAACTCTAAAAATTTTTTGATGCGATTTTTGAAATGAATGATCCAAATTAGCCGGTATACATATTTATGTATTTTAAAGCTTTAAGAATCAGTGGTTGAATTTTTTGAAAGGGTTAAGAAAGCTTTAGTTTTTTTTTTGACAGTTTATGCCAGTTTAACAAAATACATGTAAATTTTTGTTTTTGTACTCCTGCTATCACCTTATATTAATTCGCCTTGGCTTATACAATGCCGAAAACTTAATGAATAAAATACACAAATTTTCAACTCCAAATTGATCGTGTATAAACAAATGCAATCAGATATTTCATTGATTCAAGGTGTTATAAGAACAAGTGTTTAACAACAAGTAATGCGCATCACAAATACCATAGTCCGAAACAGTGACCTGGGGCTGGATTCTGTAACTGTACTGGATTCAATTGAGCACTGAAAGTTGTGTGCACTCTTCATTTTGCGATTCATGAAGTGTGAGAATGAGTTTTAGCTGTCGAAATTGTGCACACTTCCTCATTTTGCCATTCAGCAAGTGTGAGAATGAAATCTTGTCAAAATTGTGTACACTTCCCTTCCTAAAAACTCACTGAATTTTATTCGCTGAGTTTTTGGTTGTAAGTTTTGCACTCGGTGTACACTACATTTTCTCACAGTTACAGAATCCTGCCCCAGGAGTGAAAATGGTTATTATAAACGCATTCTCGGCGTTGGACAAAAATGAGAATAGAATATCCACAAAACAAGAAAATCGAAACTCTCTTTGCTTACTGGTTTCCATACAATATATGCACTTTGTAAAAGAATAAATCATTTTGGTTTTATCAAGCCAGCAAAGAAATTTTCAGTTTCCTTCGAGTTTTCTGACCTCCAACTCTTAACAATTCAAGTCTGAATAATTTTTTATACAGTGACATCAAAAGGATCCCTTCTTAGCAAACGAGTTGCCTCGTCATATCTCCTGTCAAATAATGGGATTAAGATTAAACTTTTGATGTAAAAGGGGTCCTTTTCAAAAAGTATTTTTTCAATATTTGCATGCTTTCAAAAAAACAGGAAATATAACATATCGAACGCACAATATATAATTTAATATAATTAATTATTTAAATTAAATGCGTTACCTAAATTGGTAAGACTACGGATATCAGATTTGCGTGCAAGGCATTCAGCAGTTTCGTAATATCCCCTCCTCAGCAGATGTTCTATTACTATGCGGTCCATTCGAATCTGAAAGAATAGTGACGATAAATTAATTGATTAGGCGTAATTTGGTAGCTAAATATTTTTTTTATTAAAAAATTCACATATCAAGAGTTTCCCAGCAACACCGAAATCCTAGGACATTGTCAGGCAGACAGATATGATCGGCAATTCAAGCGTACACGAAAGCGACGTTCATCCGCAGCACTCCTTCTCTGCTCGATGCACGCAAAGCAACAGTAGCGCGTTCGTTTTGCAGAAATCAATCTTTGATGANAGGCAGACAGATATGATCGGCAATTCAAGCGTACACGAAAGCGACGTTCACCCGCAGCACTCCTTCTCTGCTCGATGCACGCAAAGCAACAGTAGCGCGTTCGTTTTGCAGAAATCAATCTTTGATGATTCATGGGAGCTCATGTTTTTTTCTTTGAAACGATTTAAGAGAGCCGCAATACTATATTTGTTGGAAACAATTAGCAAAGTGCCACAAACATAAGGCGACATTACTTATCATGCCATATGTATTTTGAAAAATGTAAAAATTTATTGATCAAACGAAAGCGATTGGCATTAACTTGTTAAAACAGTCAGATCACATTGAAAAAAAATTTAATGAGCTCCAAATATAAACAACTTCTTATGTTGTTGCATTATCTGCCACAACTATTAATCGCCGTACGGGAATTTACGGTTGTGCAAAAACGCTTTCAAGAATGTTTTTTTTTTCTATTAGCTTAGATAAGAGTACTGATATATGTAAGTAGCACAAATCAATTAATAATTTATTTAAAAACAATGCGCGACAATTTGGCTACTCATGCGGATTTCTTAGGGTTCGTTCCTATGCAGGAGCATGTAAATGGGCAAACATTGCGGGAAGCTGTTAAAAATAAGGTGTTTTCAATTCACAATTATGTTTAGTAGGAAAAATGGAAAAATCAGCAAAGTCCAAGCGTCAGAAGTTATAGCTGCTATTTCGGAGATCGCCGCATCATTTTCATCATGGCATTAACTTGTTAAAACGGTCAGATCACATTGAAAAAAATTGTTATGAACTCCAAACATAAACAGCTTCATATCGATGGCTGAGTGGAAGATCGACCTATCTCGGCAGCCAGTTCGAAAGCGCCCTATTTCAGAAAATTTTTCAACATCGTTTTATCTCAAAAAACTTTTCAAGAACGCCCTACTTCAGAATTTGATTAAAAAACACCGTACCTCAGAATTTGGTTGAATAACACCTTATCTCAGCTGCCGATTCAAAAACGCCCTATCTCAGCTTATTTTCAATGTATTTTCGTTTGAGATAGGGCGTTTTTGAATCGGCAGCTGAGATAAGGTGTTATTCAACCAAATTCTGAGGTACGGTGTTTTTTAATCAAATTCTGAAGTAGGGCGTTCTTGAAAAGTTTTTTGAGATAAAACGATGTTGAAAAATTTTCTGAAATAGGGCGCTTTCGAACTGGCTGCCGAGATAGGTCGATCTTCCACTCAGCCATCGATATGTTGTTGCACCTCCCCTGGCGGCGCAATGCAGGCCTTTTTGGAAAAAATACTTTTCAAGAGTTTTTAAAATGCTTTGACGAAAATGGAGAAGATATGGCTTTGCTTGTAGACCAGATTCCATTATCTGCCAGAACTATTAATATTAATATTTGTTTTCCTTTTCTATTAGCTTAGATAAAAGTTCTGATATATGTAAGTAGCACAAGACAATTAATAATTTGTTTAAAAACAATGCACAACTTGTTTAATTATGAGGATTTCTTAGAGTTCGTTCCTATGCAGGAGCTTGTCAATGGGCACACATTGCAGGAAGCTGTTAAAGACAAGGGGTTTTCACTTGGGCATAAAAATAAATTTAGTTCTATTTTAAGTGCAACAACATCAGAAGCTGTTTATGTTTGGAGTTCATACAATTTTTTTTTTAATTCAATGTGATCTAACTGTTTTAACAAGTTAACGCCATGATGATAATGATGTGGTGATGTCCGAAGTAGCAGCTATAACTTCTACCGCTTAGACTTTGTTGCTTTTTACATTTTTATTAATAAACATAATCGTAGTACAAAGCTCAATAACAATATTAAAATAAAATGTTAATAAGCCACAATAACATTTGCAAATACATAGTTTAAGATGAGCCTGCCTGAAACTATACTATAAAGTAAATTAATGTATAGAATTAACAACAACAACCACGCTGTCAAGTTTAAATAGCGGCAGATCAGCTGCACTTGATATAAGTAGGTTGAAAAGAGGAAAAAAACCTCATGTGGCCCACCCAGAATTGGGCAGTAAAGATTTTTTCACACAAATCACCTTACTAGGTTTACAACCATAAAAAATATATAATTTGAGCAATTTTGCAAAATTCGAATTTTTACAAGAGTTATTGTTATTAACTTTTTTTATGAATTCATTAATTATTTATTATCCACTGATTAATAGCATGTGTATCGTTAATTAGACGCGCTTTGATTGTTTAAATTTTTAAAATAATCATTAGCTTGTACAAAATTTTTAATTTTTATAAAAAAAAATATAAACAAATGGAAATATTTATTACTTCTCGACCAGATCTTTTAATCGTTTACATTAAATATCAATCCTTATTCTATAATACATTATTTAAAAGAAAAGACACGGAAACTTGCTCGGAGTCGCTAGTTATTACTTCTTTTCGCTCTTGCCACGGGTGCTTTTTCTTTCATGCCGCGTACCGCGCACTCGCAGCGAGCGTGGTGTAACCAGAGGACGCCAAAAATATTAAATTTATTTATAAACATAAGCATAGATTATTTAATATAATATTTTTTAAAGTTGTATACATAAATAAGTACATTACAGTGTCCCAAAAAACCAAAGGTGTGTTTTTTTAACGCATACCCCCTCATTTTATTAGTTTTGTCTGAAAATCTCTCCAAATAAAATTGTATGCAATTCGAACCACGGCAACCCGGGCCGACTTGCAGTAAAAGTTACTAGAATAATCTTTCGCGTGTTTTGTTAACTTACTCATTTTACTTCTTTATAAGGCGGTATTACTTACACCCTACAATATTAGGGCATACTATTTAGTAAATCTGCGTTTTTAGTTTTTACCAGGTGGGCAGAATTTTTTCCCACGGCCCCCTAATTATAATAAATTTTCAAAAGCATACACAAAATATGAAAATATGGGTATCAATTAAAAAGAAAATTCATAATAAGATTAGTTCTAACTTTTATTTCCAATATCCTTTTGGAACATGTCAAAAATGTCCTTTAAAAATATTATCATTCAAGAGTTTTAATTTTTAATGCATTTTGGAGAATCTTAGTTTAATTTAAATCCTCTTAATATATGTATATACACAGACATGGGCACTTTTTTGCCCGCGCAGTAGCGAAAGTGCGAGCGCGGGCTGGAGAAAGGGAAAAACAGTTTACGGGAGGAAAGGTATGAAAAGTTGCGAAAAAATTATTTATATCCCACCGACATCATGTTCATCGCAGTACGGCTGCGCTAATACTGACTTTGTGTACCAAACAAAAAGCATACATTTTCCTCATATACACAATAAGCCATCGTTCGGAGTTCGCTCCGATAGGAGTAGATTGGTTCCGTTTTGTCGAAAAAATTTGAAACCTAGTCCTCTACTTCGCTCAACTGAAAATCTGCTCCGTTTTGTTGCATCAACAAATTTACTCTTCAAATAGAAAGGAGGTGGGGTTTTTAATAGCAAACTAAAAGTTATATTTTACCTTTTTATAGACACGATTGTTACATTGGTGAGCTACAGCAACTTTGCTAATACACTTGAATTCGTGAATAGGGCCTCACAATCGCCCGATTTGAACCCGATCGAAAAATATTGCTCTGTCTAAAGTTCTGTAATTGCGTCGTTGCCCACCGATGTAACAATTGTCCCGGTAAAGAAAGAATGAAATAACTTTTTATTAATTTTAACCAAGGCATTTTAACTTTAATGATAATTGCTCGCTGGATTAAGGCGCCTTTACACGGGTCGATTTTCTAGTAGATTTTTGTCGTTCAACCAAAATCGACCCGTGTAAATGACATCTCAACCACTAGCTGGTCGATTTTCCAGTCTACAGATATCGACCCTTATAAGGCCGCTTTAGCTCCTTATTTGTACATGGATACGAGAAGAAATGAATTGTTTTTTATAAAGATAAGAAATGCACATCTACTACGAATACTTGATATTTACTTCCATTTATGTAGTCCGAACCCAGCAAAGAGCGCTAGGTGAAGGTCAGCTAGTGATCAAATTTGCCAACAGGGCTGTCAAACATACATAGCTATGAAGTGCCATATTGAGGATAAAAAAGTGCTAAAACCGTGCCATTCTCTTTAGTTCTTCCCATTAGCATTAAAATTAGACAAATTAAAACAAAAGCCCAATGTCAAAGTAAGATAAACCAGTTGTATACACTATAGAAATTACAAAATTTTAGTTGAGAAAAAGAAGTACACGCAAAGGATTCCACAAAAATGTATTTAAATTTGGCTTGTTTTCAAAAGTGCTATTTTGGAACTTTGTGCAAAATTGAAAAATTCAGTGCCATTTCAAGTAAAATAGTGCCAAAAATGGCATGGTTAGAGTCAAGTTTGCACCCCTGATCGCCAAGTTTTTTATTTAAAAAAGCACCAAAATACTGAAAATAGCGTAATAACCGTACAATATTTAGAACGCATTGACTAGTTGAACCTTCAAAACCAGCTTACCCTTATGTAGTTATCAATTAGTTATCGACACTGCTTTTATTTCAATTAGGAAAAGTTAATTTTAAGATAGCGAAGAAAATGCGGGGCAAAGGCAGGACGCTTGGACAGAATCAGTACATTTTGGGGGCTTTCTGTTTTGAAAAACTACGCAGGACAGACCTTTAAAAAACAGTACGGTCCTGCAAAAAACAGAACGGATGGTCACCGTAAATATAACCCAACTAACCGAATCTGTTGGGTTGGGGGGCTAAACACCTTTCGCAGAGAACACCTCTCTGCGTAGGCGGCC